AGCGCACTGGGTCCACATAATTGGAACATAAGGCGTGAACATTTATGTTCCAAATTTGGCAATTTTTAGACCCGAGCTAGCATACCTCAAATGGACTAATTGTGCAATGTTTTATCCGAATAATACGAACTTACATTTTTTATATGGAAAGTAGGGGCTTTTAGACGTTTTCAACAAAACTGTAATATGGTGAGTGGGTGGGGTTATAATCCGATTATATTTATTTTAATACCGTCGGTACAGTTTCTTATAGTATTTGCTCTAAACGAATTTGGCTGTTATAGCATTATTAGTTTAGAAGGTATCTATATTAAACACATCGTTTAATCGTCAATTATTTGGAACTTAGAAGTGAGCTTTGATAATAGTTTGGAAATCCAGCTTCATGGCTAATTCTGTCATGTACCTAGTCTTGAAATCCTGCTCTGTAACGAGTATGACGCTGAAAATTTTAGATCTTTGCTAAAGGACTTAACTAACGTTCAACACTTAAAACAGAAAATGGTAAATTGCAAAATATTGTCAAAGCGATGCAAATAATATATTCTGGTTATACAAACGAATGTATATGGGAACAAATGATTAAAAATAAAAAATGTTTCCTTTTAACCAAAAAGAAGATTTTTTCTAAAGCTTTCGGGGGCTCAAATTCAAATTCTCAAATTAAAAAAAAATATATATAGATTTCATCGCATGTAGAATGTTACATTTTTTAATGAGAATTTATAATAAATAAGATTAGTTTCGGAACAACAATAAACCCCCACAGTAAATGAACAAATTGATATCGACGTCAATTAAATGAAAACATATTAAAAGATGTTTATATATCTTTTTGATCCCCAAATATTTTCTCAAATGACAACACTAATAAACAGTATAAAGTCATATCAAATGTCGGAGAGCTGCATATTGGTCTGAGCTGATTGCATTTACTTTTGGCTTTAAACTAAATTACGTATGGGGGAACAAACTATAGTATGTCAAAGATTATACTTGTATGCCCACTAAATTTTGTTAAAATATCTTACATATTGACTGGAGTTTACGAAATTCCGGTATAAAGCAAGCGGAAGTTGGAAGATATTCGTTATATAAGAAGATTGCCTTTTATATTCGGGATCAGAAAACAAAAACAAATTCTAATCATCGAAAATCGCTTTATTGTTTTTCAAAATATTCTCCCTTATGATCTGTACACTTTTGCGTGTGCTTAAACTTTTGACACTCTTCAAAGTGCATTCTGAACGTATTAACAATATCTTCGGATGTCGAAAAACGTTGATCTTTTAGTTTATTTTTTATGTACGGTAATAAAAAGAAGTCATTCGGTCCTATGTCAGAGCTAATCGGTGGATAAGTAATAAAATCAATATTTTAAATGCTCAAAAATGCAATTGTTTCAGTCGATGTTTGACTTCTCGCGAGAGTGGTCAGTCTTTGGCGGTTGGGTTTTCTAATTTCTTGAAAGTCAAGTGGCAAAAAATTATTGTATACCACTCAGAATTCAATGTTCAGTTTTACTTTCGGGCGCATACGCGTATATCCACGTTTCATTATTTTTTTAACATTTCTCCGAACCAATCGACACAATCGATCGACAACAACACCAATAGTTTCCGGAACAACAACTGATTTTGGGCGATATTCATGAAATCCCTCTTGTTCAACCATGATTGAATTTATCTTCTTTTTCTTTACTGGCGGTTATAGTCGAGTTAACAACATCGCGTCAGTCGTTTCCATTTGGACGACATAACCTTACGCTGGCTAGGCTGGCCCGCTGTCTTTTAATTCGCTGAACTATGTCAATGTCGTCGTATATCTCATGCAGCATATCGTTCCATCGAATGCGATATTCGCCGTGGCAAATACGCAAAGGGCAATAAATCTTTCACAGAATTATTCTCGACAACGTCGACTCATCAGATGTTGTCATCGTCCATGCCTCTGCACCATATAGCAGGACGGAGATAATGAGTGACTTATAGAGTTTGGCCTTTGTTCGTCGAGAGATTACTTTACTTATCAATTGCCTACTTAGTCCGAAGTAGCCCCTGTTGACAAGAGATTTTTGCGTTGGATTTCGGGTCTGACATTGTTGTTGGTGTTGATGCTGGTTCCAAGATAGACGAAATTATCTACGACTTTAAAGTTATGACTGTCAACAGTGACGTAGGAGTCTAGTTGCGAGTGCGACGACTGTTTGTTTGATGACATCGTTTTCTTCGCTGCCTTATCCATTCTGGAGAAAGCAGAACTAACGGCGCGGTTAAATTCATACCATCGATAAAAACTGATCCTTGATGGACTCTCATGGCCAAAAATTTAATTGAGTTCACCGATGTAATGTTTTTGAGTTAATTAATACCAAACACTTTAAGACATATTCCTGCGAAAATGTTTACGATTTAATTCCGTTTTTGGTAGAGATGAATATTTCATGTTACTATAAACAACACAAATAACGGTCGGTAAAAACGTTCCAAATATGTATGACATCAGAAATGTCAAACTTTACGATAAAGTTGTCAACTGCCCGATTGAACACCATGGTTGCCAAATCTCGAGATATTAAAGGCATTATACGTAATATTATATTACAAATTACCAAGAAAAGGTGTTAACGTTAGCTGCACCAAGTATAAAATATGCTTAACAAATACAAAAAGTTCCGATCATTCAGTTTGTATGGCAGCCATATGCCACAATGTTCAAATCAGGAACAATTTCCTCGAAGATTGTATTATTGCCTTAGGTAATAACCCACGGCAAGGTTCGTAAGGATATTTCGTAAAATTAATACGTTTTCCATAAAAGCACTTGATCATCCCACATCCCAAAAAGGTTACAAGTTATATGTTATTTCCAGTGAGCCCCAAAAGTCATAATAAAATGGGAAAACATCGTATCGATTTTATACTGTAAAATAAATCTTGAAATATGTATCAAAAATATAATTATAGTCTACAGTTACACATTTCTCAAATTAAGTAAAAAATTATATATTTACCCCCCTACTACTCCGCCCTGGATAGGACATTATTGCTTTAGACTATGACCCCTGCTAAATTTTGTGAAGGTATCTGCTCAAATTAAAAAGTTTTCCATAAAACACTTGATATATATTCGATAATGGTCCAATGACGGCAGTTTCGAAAAATCTAAAATTATGGGGGACTAGTTCGCTTATATACAGGCAGACATGGCTAAATCAACTCAGCTCAGTTGTATTCGACGTTTCCTTCGGGGTTTTACAAACTTCGTGGCAAATTTAATAAACCCTCTTCAGGGTATACAAATATTATATCCTGTGAAAAAACATTCACAATCATAAATTATGTTGTGTTAATATCAAAACTTAGGGAGGCAGCTTCTCAACTACCGAAGAAGAATAAATTTTAGCATACTTATTTTTCCCAAGCTATATTATATTTAATGAAACTTTTGTTTTATCTTTTTAGTAATTTGTTTTTAGAAAGGACTGGGTCCACATTCACATCTTAGTTTTATTAATTCATGTAAACGAGAATATTTTCACCAATTTTATTTGCAAAAGTTTAAATTATTATTGGTTTTTGCCATAACCGAACATTTATTGAGTACATTGTACACATACTAATTTGTTTAGTATACCTTGCGGTGCAGTGCATCTTCCGGGAGAAAGCTCATTTTTTTTCATTTTAACTTCACTGCCTAACTTATTAATATAGTTGGTAAAACCGGGGAGGCAAATTTTACGCCCTTAAATTTATAGTGGTATTTATGTATGTATCTGTTTTTCACTTATATAATATTTAATTTATTGTATTTATATTTAAAAAATTTTGATTAATATTATTAAACTCCTTATGAATTCATGACAACGTTTACATTAATTGCACAGCTTTCACTTTTCTATATCGTTAAACGACAACGACCACAGGTTATTTGATTTCCTTTAGTCAATAGTCTTCCGATATTTAGGACCAGACTCATGAGTAATGACACAGTGGACACAATTTCACGATGTTCGCTCTTCGGCTTGCTGTTTGAGATTTATCATAAAACCATGACAGAAGCAGAACGGACATGTGTCTGCAACCCCGAAAAACCGTAACACGCAATCACCAGTAATACAGCAGAAATTATGTATACCTACGTTATACGCCATTGCCACCACCTCCGCCAACAGGAACATGCAAAAGGGGGTTGAGCATCACTTGTTTTGTTGGTATTAGTGTTTACAGCCCATTTTTAATGTATGCATATGTATGTGCATGCCCTTCAACGAGGCATCATAATGACTGGATATACTAGATTTCCAGGCAAAGATCCTGTTGAAATTGAACTAATCACAAAAGCATCACCTTTATTCCAATTAAAGTAAATTCGTTTATTAAAATTTTAGTGGATTCTTCGATTCAAAGAAGATATGTATGTATATGGTATTTATTATATGTATTTATAACCCAATTTGGTTTGTTGGATTAAAAGATTGGAAAATCTGGGATTGGGAAATTCTAAGTTAAATTAAAAATAATGTTATATTAACAGAATTTTTATATTTTTATTATTTTTATTCTGTAATCACAAATACGGGGTTAAAAACTAAAAAAAAAAAAATATTCCTTGAGTAATGACATACCGGATTAAAAAATAAAAACTAAACTATTTAATCCCAAGCACATAATTAATATTTTAAAAAGAAATTGAAAATGCGCGTTTACGTACTAGAGCTCGGAAATGATGGTTTTGTCTACAATTTACATATCTATTAATTTAATGTATTTTTTTTATTTTTATTTTTTTTTGGTTATCATATGGAGACTAATCGGAATCTAACTAATGGCATCTCGTAGCATATTATGGTAAATAACAGTTGTTGGTATAGAAAAAAGTCAAGCGCCTAACTACTTTGTTGAGGCTCATTCTACTTCTAAAGTAGTTCGTAATTGGTTGATTTCACAGCAGTGTCAAGAGTACATTTACAAGCATGGAATTCTATGCATACTACATACCTGTGAATATATGTATATAGGTGTGACCAGAACACTTAGATTTCGTAAAGTGCCACCCACTGATGTCAGTAATTGTCAACTATGCGTATTGCATCCAGTATCGTGCTTGCTTTGATTCGTTCTTCTTGACGTCGAGTTTTGTTTCTTTACTTTTTGGTGTATGTAGTAAGCTAAGCCACAATCTCCAATAAACACAAATCATTATTTAACAATGGGTTTGTAGATACTTACATATTATATATTAATTTAAATAGTATAATATAAGTGTGTATATAAATGTATTCACGTACCATTTATCCAAACAGAAATGCGAACTCAACTGATTTTCGTCCTATTTTGTACATGCAGTACAAATGTATATACCAACGTTTTATATTCAATAAGGAATAATGCAACTATAACTTGATTATATCAATATATTTTCGCTCTTATTTATTTATTCGTACAATACACATGTACACACATGCCATGTGCGTATGTAGGTACTTGTTTATTGTTTTAACACAATTTTGTAACTTCGAAACGCCGAGAGACAATATAAACATTAGAAATAGCAACACGTTTTTTAAACTTTTTTTTTATTTTATACACTTAATATCTATTGTCAACAAAATAACATCAATAATTTCTATAATTTTTTTATAGACGACATTTTGTATTTAATTTATACCCAAGGACATATGCATGTAATTCAGACAATTAATAAGGTTTCATAGTAAGTTTATGAAGTTGTGTACTTACATATGTACATAGTTATACATATAAAAAAAATGTGTGAGTAAATTTTTATAAGTCATGTGCTGAACACATAAAGAGCGATACACATCTAGCGACATCTCTCAAATATTAAAATACACACGTTCTTATGGACACAGTTATTTAGGCAGCTGCACGACTACACGACAGGAGGCTCTCAATTGTCGCTATCGCTAATTTAAAAATATTTCTAAATTTACCAACGACAGTAGAGAGGAGAGGAGATAATGCCACTAATATGGAAAATGTAAATTTGTTCAAAGCTCTAACAAACATGACGTGGCTCTATTATATCATTTGTAATAGCAATTGATAATATAAAACAAACAAATTTACCTATTTACTTATTTTCACTTCGAACAAAATATTAAAATTTCATTGAAGTGAAAGGTATTCGTATGGCAACAACGAAATTGTGTACTGACAAAGTGGACAGTTGTGTTGTTGTGTTTACATGCTGCAATTATTATGTCACTGCCTTCTTACAAATGTTCATGTTACAGGCTTCACGACGCCATTTACAGTTCTCTGTGCAGTCATGTCGCTCTCTATGTGTTTATCACATAAAAATGTATTGCCTATTTACGTACTATATGATAAAACTTGCCACATCTTAAACAGCAAATAGTAGGATTTTTAACGATTTTTCTTTTTTCTTTTTTCGTGTGATTCTTTTTTCTATATTAACTATAATAAGAAATACTTCTACATATGCCTAATATGTGATTTATATTTAATAAACACAAATAACTAAACCTCTATGATAATATTACACAATTTAAATAACAAAATAATTTTGGTCGAGCAAATACCCAGGGTGACTGAAGTTTTTTCGCATAGTATTTGTTTTTTTTTTTTTTGCGTGGGYGGCCTTTGGCCGCGCTATCAAAAAATAACCCTGGTCAAGCGAATAACCTTGTGACTGAAGTACTTTCGCATAGTACTCCTTTCGGCGTTAAAAATAAAAAAAGTTTATTGAGTTTTCATTATAAAGTGGTTAAAGTGTTTATATTTTTTGGTTATCATGCACTCATATTGAAACAAAATTTCGTTTTCGTTATAAAATGGTTAAATTTTGGTTATTATATCTGTCAGCGACTGCGATTTATTTTTGATAATACGATACATATAACCCTACATATTTTTTAATCCTCTTTCCAACGGTACTTTCAAATCGAGGCGCCAAAGAAATCGGAATTATGCAACGATGTGCCTTTACGATGAGTGATGAAGAGATATACACACATACATATATAAGTATATGGTAAAGTTAAAGTATTTTATATATAATATGAATAAAATGATCAATACGAGGATCAATTTTCTCTCTACGGCCCAGGCTAAGATAGGAAGAAATATTCCATATATGTACGTGCATATAATTGGCTAATGGGGCAATGATATCCATAGATATGTATATATGTTTCAAGGAGTCATAGTTCTTTGAAAGGATCCAGAGTAGATTTTTGGGGGGGAGGTAGCATATAATTTTGTACTTGATTTGAGAAATGTGTAACTGCGGACCATTTATTTTACGGTATAAAATCGATATGGAGTTTGCTCATTTTACCAAAATTCAATTCAATAAATCTAAAACTCACTGGAAATAATATATAATTTTTAACTTTTGTTAACCCCCACCCTCCGTGGAACCGCGCCTGAATGATAGAATCATAGTTGTATATGCCAAAAAATTGGAAGACCAAAATCCGTGTCATAAGATCAAAATGGTATGAAACGGATTTGTAGATCAACATCTTCTGTTCTACTAAGTTGAAACTGTTTTATAATATGCTACAAATCTTACTTTAGTACGGCTGCTTTAAGAATTTTGCAGTAAAAGTAATTGTTCTTAATATAAGTTAAATTATTATGCACATGTTTGTACGCACGTATATGTATGTATAAGTACCAAATCGACTTTTGCTTTTGTTTATTATACTATTGAACCCAAACCTCATTGAAAGATGTACAACTATTAATCTTAAACAAAGAGCAGCTCTCAGAGTTAGGCCACGCCCATAAAGGAGGAGCGAGCATGGGATTAAAACGTATATACCATTTTATTTTGCCTCCCTTTTCACACAAAGCGGAAAAGGGAGAGAAAGAAAGCACACATATGTTTATAGTATATCCAGCCGCTTAACAAATGCTCTTATGACAGAGAGAGGTGGTTGTTGACATTTGAACAAATGATAATGCTTATCCACTGTACATACTTTATATATTTAGTTGTATGCAGTCTATGCATAGACACATTTGCTGAAGTATGCTCTTTCACATTGCAGTATATATGTATCCTACACTTAAGTATACTTGCAAGGCATGCCTTTGTACAAACTGCTTTTTCCAATGATTTTCGATTACCTTTTTATTTTGGGCCCATCGATTTAAAACGAAGCAAATCGCATATTTTTTATACTATTGCAACATGTTGAACAGAGTATAATAGTTTGGTTCACTTAAGCATGGTTTGTAAACGCTAAAACTAATGGAGCTGGATATGGAATTACATATATATAAATGATCTCTCTCACATAACGGTTATGTTGAAAACTACTAAAAGTATGATAATATTTAAATTCATTATCTAAAGCACTACTTAACTATTTAATTTAACCCAAATTTGGTGCAAAGCATAACTTTGTCATTCTTGCACAAAACATGCCATCTCACGCCCGAAACAGTCTGCTAATATCGAATTTGTACTATTCAAAAACCTTTTTTTTTTTTTGTGAAAAATATCGGCAATATGTGAGAAATATATATTGAAATTAGGAGAGAACATTTGTCTAATAATAATGTGCCCTCGTCTTAAAAATGGTTAAATAGAGACAATACTTCTCCTAGCCCACAAGTACCTAATACAAAGATTTTCGAATTTCCGGTTGATTTTATACCTATGTATCATTGTGTTCAAAACTGGGTCAAAAGCACTCCAAACAGCTATACGCCTAATACCGTGGTTGGTAGGCATTTCATAGCACAATTGTGCAAGCTAACTTCACACGTACGTCTACGCTCTATTGTTCAGTCGTTGTGAAGACAGCGTAGGCCAGGAATAAAGCGATGTTCAACTTATTCCAGTGTGAGAGCACCTCAAAATTAGCGTTTTTTATAACATTTGCCATTATGGCCAGATTGGACAAAATAATCATTTTTGGGCATTTAAATTAAAACAACCAACATTTAGTACGAATAAAAATTACTATATAGTGGTTATTCATTATATGGAGAAACTATTTAAATTTTTTTAAAGTATATTAGAACAACTGACTTTTGACCTTTCAATGCCCAATAAAAGGATTTAAGCTTGTTAGCTCTCAATCATTAAATGTTTTTAATCATTTTCCATTAAAAATAATACTATGATGATTCAAATTATAAAACCTTTCATCAAATACCTTTAAATTTCACAAATTAKGAGTTAAACATCTCTTTATCTGTGGTATGGTCCTACCACTAAGGGAAATGCACCCTGCACGAATTCTTTTGTATTTATGCATACTTTATGATAATACGAATTACATTTTCTTTTTTACGTTACTTAATGACAATAAAACTAAAGTTTTTAAGGTCTCTATATTTATTTTAATCGTATAATATATATTGATTGCTGATTTATGCAAGCACGAAAGTTCTTAATTGAACAAAGAATTAAAGGTATTCACAAAATTTAAGGTAATAGAGTTCTTACGGAACTTCGTGCTTACCTACACGGAAACTCTTTCTCTCATGCCGACCCCTGTTCTTATACTAGGTCCCGTGTTCCGACGAATATTTCATTGGCTATCCTTCTCGGAGTTAAAAAAAACCGCTGGTAGACCAATGAAGTAAAAGAACACTCCTTAAAACTTTAGCATACCAAACCTTGTAATATATCCCTAAAATAAAATAAACAAACAAGTATCGCGCAAAGAGCGAAAAAAGTAAAAACGTGTTTGCGTTCGAAATGTTTTACAATTTGTGCTCAAAGGAATAGCGATTCCTGCTAAATATATCCCAATCATCCAGACTCAATGTATGCAAATAATAAATAAACCCAGGCCTGTACAATCAACCCAACCACAAATAGGCAGTAACGGGTATATTTGGGAGATCAATTAGCACCCAACCAGTATACCAAAGAGAATAATTGAAAGTGCACAAATAAGTCAACCACAAATACAAAAACTGAATGATATTGAAAAGAATCATTTTTATTAAAAAAGATGCAAAAATTGGGCAAATCTTTAGAGCTCTAATAAATACGGGAACATATAGTACATATAAAATCCGGAATTTACGACCATCATTTAATATT